AGTTTTAATACATCTAGCTACAGTTGTATTGTTTGTCCATAATACAATCCATATTGAACGCCAACCATATACTGTGAATGCAGAGCTTAATAATTTAATTAATTTACTAAATCAAAATCTCAAAGCTTGCTGGTAAGTAAAGATTAAGAAGTACTAAAATAAATGTATGGAAAACATGGAAATATGGAGAATTAGGTGACTAATTTTCTGTAAGGGATGAGTAGAGGGAGGGTATGGGAGGAATATAAATTCAAAACTGCTTCACAGAACTTCAAGAGGGGTAGAAGTTTTGGCATCAGGGAGACCTAGTTTTAATTCTAGGTTTCCCATTTAATATTTATGAGGTCTTGGAGAAAATTTCTGTACCTCTCTCAGGCTCAGATTCCTTGTCTGTAAAAAATAGGTGATATACCTTTTTTTTTCTTCATTCCCTCAAGGGGCTACTGTTCCTAGAGGTACTGCAATACAAGGTCAATGTGTGGAATGGAGAGAGCAAAATCCTATTACATCTCCTATCTCCAAAAATCTATTTAATATATTGTCCTGGGATAGAGGACATATCAGATATTAAACTAGTAAGAACAGATACAACACTTGATCTTAGCTAAAAGCCCGAAAAGAGATTAGGTGATACAATGTTTTACAAGTTGTCATGAAGGCCAAATGAATTCATGAAGAACATATGCCTGGTGAATAGTAGGTTCTGTGTGAATAGTAGTTGTTAGTATTGATTGTTATTAAGAATAAAGTGCACAAGGATGCCTAGGAAAGGCAAGAGGCAATAATAAGTGCATTGATCTTATTAGAGTGTGTGGCGGTAGATAGTGAAGATGAAGCTAGAAAGATAAAAACTGGATGGTGAACACATCTTCATCGAGAGATAATGATGTTGAATATTTTACTGGATATGATGGAGAAACTTTCAAGACTTTTTGTCACTGTGCTTACACTAGGGAAAATGATTTGGCAGGCAAAATAAAGCATAAATTTAGACTCAGAAAGACCAGGTAGGAATGTGTAACATCAATTCAAGAAAACACTGTAAGAGGTGATCTGAAGCAATGGGGAAGGAGTAGACATTTAAAAATGTATGAGATAGAGTTTAAAAGACTTGTTAACTCATCAAAAGTTGTAAGAGACCAGAGTCCAGTAAAACCATAGAGTCAAGGAAGGGTCTGTTAAATTGTATTATTTATTAATTTTGTTAATAATTATTAATTACTCAATTGATTTATTAATATATGTTATTTAATATTTTGTTTCAATAAACAATACCTATATTCATCACGGGGTATTGGTACATCTACACACCACATCTTGATTCTTTTTACTTCCCCTTCCCCTCCTCTACCTCTTATTTCCTTTCATCTGTTGGTCTCATTCCCATTTGCAAAAGATCTATCTCCCTGTTTTCTATTATCTGTCTTTCATTTCTCTAAGTTTTTTATACTTTTAGTCTTTCATATAAGCAAAACCAGGCAATATTTAGGCTTGTGTGTTTGATTTATTTCACTTAACATTATGGTTTTGAGATGGGTCTTTTTTCTTCAAAATGACTCATATTATCTATCTATCTATCTATATGTCTTTTCTTTATCTATTCATTTGTTGATGAGCATATGGACCTCTTCTGTAATTTACCTATTAAAAATAGTGCTGCTACATGCAACAGTTTGTAATAGCTAAAGCTTGGAAGCAGCCCAAGTGCCCATCAACTGGAAACTGGATAAAGAAGATGTGGTTTTTGTATAAAATGGAGTACTACTCAGCCATAAAGAATGAGAAACTAGAGTCATTTATACCTACATGGATGTATATTGAGGCCATATTCTTAAGTGAAATAAATAAGACACACATGTGTAAATACTGAATAGTTTCTCTAGTGTGAGAGACTGAAAGTGTAAATAAGCATTAAAATGATTAAAATGAATAATTGATAATTTGAAATAGGAGAAAAGGTCCAAAGAGGTACCGGTGAAGGGAGGGGAAGGGGAAAGGAAAGAAGGAAAGGAAAAATTATGAGAAAAGAAAAAAAATGGAAATGATGTCTGTGTAAATAGGGAAGGGTAGAGGGGTTGAAGAGCACACAGGTAATGGGGAAAAAATAAGAATCAAGATACATCACGTACAGGTACAAACACCCAATAATAAATGTAAATGTATTGTATACCTAAAATGTACCAATAAAAGAACTTAAGAAAAAAAAAGAAAAAAAAATTGTGCTGCTACAAACATGGGTATGTATGTATCAGTGTAATATGATGTATTCAACTCTTCAAGGAAGATACCTAGAAGAGGTATGGCTGGGCCAAATAGAATTTCTTTATTTCTTTTTCTTTTTTAGTTTTTTGAGAAATCTCCATAGTGATTACCAAAGTTTTTGTACTAGTTTGCATTTTCACCAGTAATGAGGAAGAATTTTTGATGAAAAGTATTATTATTATTTTTTTTAATGTGGGAGTGATGTAGCCAGGTTTGGTGGTGCATGCCTGTAATTCCAGCTCTCTTGAGGCTAAGAAAAGATGATGGTGAGTTCAAGGCCAGCCTGGTACATACATTGTTTGACTGTCTCAAACAAAACAAAAAAAAACAAGTGGGACAGATATATGATGGATTATATGTTAAAGAAAATGAATAAATGAATACACATGAAGGTTATATTTTATTTATTTATTTATTTATTGGTGCAGGGGATTGAACCCACAGTCTTGTACATGCTAAGCATTCACTCCATCATTAAGCTATACCCTCAGCCTCTAAGTTAATCATATATATATAAGAAAAGTAATATGTACTCATTCTGAGGAAGCTTCTTAAAATAGGTGATGCACTGTATTTATCAAATGCACACCACAATAGCAAAGGACATATTCATTTGGAAAGCACTTACTGAATCCCGTTATGTTCTGTAAATTATGCTAGGTGCTAAGGAGAATAATTAAGCAAATATACAAGGCATTCATTGGTGTTATGAAGAAAAAAAGAGAGTGAGGGTAGAGAGGTATGGGTGTGGTGTTGTAGTAGGATGATCATGGAAAGATGCTCTGAAATAAGATATGAGCAGAAACATAGGCCAATGGCAGATGTCATTAATTGCCCTGGAGAAGACTAGGGCATAAGTCGATTGGTTGGGGTCAAAGCAATAGTTCGATTTGGAATAGGCTAAATTTGAGAGACCTACCTACTAGTAATCCAAGTGAAAGTGTTGAATAGGCAGTTGCAGGTATAAGTCTTGACTTCAAGAAAAAGTTTGTGGCTGGAGATAATTTTGCACACACTCAGCATACAGATGAGATTTAAAGCATGGATCTGGATGGGATATGGACATACTGTACCTAGAGTGTTGGGGAAGACTGAAGCCATGGACTAAGTCTTGAAGTTCCAATAGTCAGAGATTTGGAAGATGAGAGATGATCCAGCAATGGAGACTGGGGAGAAATCATCAATGATGTAGAAAGAAAACAAATATTGTTTTGTTTTGAAAACCAGGAGAAGAACATATTTAAAGAAAGAGGAAGTCATGAACTGCACCACGTGCTAGCAAGCTGAAGTCAGTTACAGCATACTTTTGTTGATGGGAAATAATGCCGTAGAAGGAGGAAAACAGATGACGATGAGGATGATGATGTGTGTGGGTGTTCCAGAACAAAGGTTTTGAGGAAGCAGGAGGGGAATGAGATTCAGAGAACAAAATGATTGTCCTTAATCACAAACACTTCCAGTTGAGCCAAACATGAATTCATTCAATTGCTTGTGCACATACAGTCACACATTTTCAAGGTTTATAGCCCCATACATTCACTCCTTTCAAAGCTTTCACTTACAAAATTATATTCCTAGACCTCACTTTCTCCCTGTATTTTAGGCAGAGTAAATGGAAGCACTATTAATGATCCTTGTTTCCAATCCCACCCGCCGCGTCCCGTCCTGTCGTGCCCCCCCCCGCCCCCCCGGCGCTCTTTCTTAGCGCTCAAAGCTTGGTGGTGAAATAAATAGGAGGCATGTGGAATGTTAGAAACCTCTCCAAGGTACTGAGCTGGCTTGGTCGCTCTTTCAATTGCTCTTAAAAGTCTTTTTGAATTTTGAGTTCTACAGGATTTGATGAGAAGGATTTTGATTATCCATTTCCTGTGTAAGAGAGTCTACTTCATCACCACTGTATTGTTAGAGTCGAGTGTAGTGTGTGGGTTAACGTAACAAAGTAGAGAATCATGATTTGGAGAAGACATAAAAGTTATAATTATTGTAGCTATGGATCCATTATTCTCATAGCAGGATGAGAGACGAGTAAGCATAGGACACCCTGACTTCCTTGCCACAAGAAGAGTCCAATTAGAGGCCTCTGTGTTTGTGTGGGTGCATGTGTGTCCACTAGAAACATTTTATCAGTAGTGGGGGAAACCATTGAAACATCAGAAAGATAAGGAAGGGTTGGGTTGGTAATAAGCAGAAGTATGTCAATATCTTTTAAAACCTTTTTCTCTTTTCTCTGGTTTCTAGGAGGCTCATGCATAATGGACTAAAAATCTCGGCCCAAGGATTCATTACTAAGTATTGAAATAAGCGTAGTTTGGTATAGGACGACATTTTTTTCCTGAGCCCGGAAAGCAAGTACTTCTAGAGTCCTTCCCTGGCCCTGAGTCCTCAGACGTTGCAGGGGAGGTCCCTTGTTTCCCGCATTCTTTTTGTGAATTCTCCCGCGAGCAAGACAGCTCAGTTGTCTTGAGAGAGCCTGCTGAGCATGTGTGAAGAGAGCTGCGCATGCTCGGTGGAGTGGGCAGGTTTACCGAGACGCTAGCAGTGTCTTTTACTACTCTGCACCCGCCCAGCACGCCTCCTCCCTTCTTTCCCACCATCACCACCACGCAGTCCCCCACATCCACCCCGCCCCTCTGTTCCATCCCCACCCCCACCCCAGGCTGGGGAATCTCCATTGACGTTCGGGTGACGCTGCTGTGCCACCACTGTAGGGGTTCCAAGCGCTGCACAGGTAACGCCGTGGCCGCCATATTGGCAGAGCTGGGAGCCAGGAGCCGGGAGCAGCCAGGGTGCTGGAAGAAGCGGGGTAGCTGGTGTGGGGAGTCATTCACTGTCTGGCAGCCGTCAAGTCTGCGGCAGTGGTGAGCCCGAGCCTAGCGGCAGCTCTCTCAAAAACTCAACAGAGTTGACTTCTGTTTGGGAGCAGCAACGTGAGGCAGAGATTTCCTGCTCCCACCCTCTGAGGGACTCTGAGCATGGGCAGCGGTCGCTGAAGGCAGGGCTGGGGGCATAGCGGCGGTTGCGGCAGCCAAGGCAGTAGCGGCAGCCAAGGCAGTAGCGGCGAACTAATTTATTAGACTGGATGCTCGGCTGCACTGACTGTCGGTAGCTCCAGTTCGATTTTTCTTGAAGGGGCGATGCTGCCGTTCGCTCCTCAGGACGAGCCGTGGAACCAAGAAATGGAGGTGTGTAGAGGCAGCACAAACAGTTGCGAGGTTAGTGTGGTGTTCGAAATAGGCTGCAGCCAACTATGTACCCTTTTTATTAGAATCCTGGCCACGGGCCGAGAGTAAAAGAGAGCGGAGCGCGAGGGCAAGCCCCCTTGAAGCTGCCGGGTGGCTGAGCGATCGCTGCCCAAACTGTGCTATCATTGAGGCAGCGGGCTCCAGCGTGCAAAGTGAATGCAGCCGGGTCCAGGCATGGCCTCATGAGCCACTACTTCAGGAGCCACACTGAAATTTAAGCTTCTTCACTTTGCAATTTCAAATGGAACGGCGTGGGGCGGGGTACGAGTAAAGTGCTATGGATTACTCTGTGCGTCCTTCTTTCACCACCGCGCTGGATTTGCTCTCTGGGAACACTGGGAGGTAGTGGTGCTCTACAGGTCACTGTTGAACCCTGGGCGTTTTATAAACCTAGTGCGACAAAAACACCAAGGTGATAAGGTGAACCTGGGGACATTTACGTATCTAGGACCAGGGTTCTTTGGTAACTTAGCTTTCTTGTATCTGTGTGGCTCCTTGTGGTTTTTAACACCCCAAGTCTAGACTAACTGGACGCCAGATTTATCTACATTCAGGTGATGGTTTGTTGTTCTTTTCCTCCATCCCTTCATCTTTCCCACTTGTTATCCCTGTCCCATTGGTCGGTAAAAAAAGAGGCAAAGTAAATCCCAGTCCTCATAGGGTGGATATTTAGTAATACTTAGCAAGGTTTAATCAAAATATTTTGGTTTCCTGCTCTGTTCTTTTCAGCTTTTGTCCACTGTACCGTGAAAATTTAGATCTTCACAGGAACTTTGTTGTTGTTACGAATGTTGGACAGCATTTAAACACAAAAGCATATCTATTGTGTTAGAGTTTGGGATCCTTTTATGGCAACCTAACAGCATACTACTCCAGCAGACACCAGCATATGACTTCTAAAAATATTTGGTGAATTCTGCCAAATTGATTCACAGTAGGATATTTTGAGGTAAGACGCCCACTCCTTACCATCTCAAGGGTGCAACTTTGTGTTCAAGTACTTGCTCTATCGTTAAAACTGCACTTTAAAATGTTGTATGACTATCTTGTTCTTTTTTGAAAATTTGCAACTAAACTGGGGTTAGACTAATATTGGAATAGCATGCAAGAAGAAATGTAATAGAAATAAATTCAGAAGTATCCTGCAGTTGAATCCTCTATACTTACAGGAAAATTATAGGGAATATTTTATTAGTAAACTGAGCAGTTCCCAAATACTTTTTAATATTTTATATCTCTTAAGAATAGGAACAATGAAGACGGATTAATTTTTTGAAATGTGTGAATACCAACTTCTTGCATGAATTTCTTAGCAAGATTGGTCAAGGGAAGAGGGAGTTTATTTTTTGTATGTAATCTGTTGACTTTATAGTCACAGGAATTTACTTCACACAAACAGTTAAATGTTTTAACATAAGGGTGGAATGAGAAGTGGGTAGCTTTTCACATGTCTACTATTTGATTATGTTTGTTAACTTTTAATGTGATATGTTAAATTGTAATTACCAAATTATATATTCTTTGCAGTATATTTTAGGTATTGTAGAAATTTAACAATGAGTCTTTTTACCTCAGCAATTCAGAAACATACTCGAATGGAAATTGTTAATCCTATGAAATAAAATGAAAGGTAAAGATAATGTGGTTTAGGTAGTATTTTTGCCTTCTTTGTCTAAAGCAGTTATGACTGGTTAGATTTAACCCTGCACGTGACTTAAAAATACTTAGGTGAAAATGCTACATTTGACAGACCAGTTGAATATTTAGTTTTTATTTGTTTTTAAGGATAGTTCATTGATAAGATGGAAGCAGTTGATGTTGGCTTTAGAAATGCTAAATTTTGAGTATGAACTTTACAGCCTTCCAGTGTGGTAGTTTTTAGGAATAAGGTGTTTTCATTGTATGATTTTTGTTTTTTAAGTATGGTAGAATCTTTACAGAAAATGTAGGTAACAATCCGTTAAATTTAATGTCATGAGAAATAATTATCAGTTTGTGTGTGTGTAGAATCTTGGTAGCACTAAAGATTATAGACACTACCACATAGTTTGGAGTTGTTTTCACTATCTTTTTACCAATCTTGCTTGCATGGTGTTATGGTTTAGATGTAAAAGTCTCCCATTCAGAGGTGAGGATTTTGGAAGGTGATTGCTATACCCATCAGTAGATTAAATGATTGATGAGTTTATAGCTGACTGTGCAGTTCAGAGTTGGGGCCTGGTCAGAAATGGCAGGTCTCTGGGCACATGACCTGGAAGGATATATTCTTGTTCCTGATTCCTCTCCCCACCCCTCTGCTTCATGGTTGCCATGCATTGAACAGTTTTCCTCTGCCATACTTTCCCATGCTGTTTCTACCTTGAAACCAGCAAACAATGGAGTGACTCCTCTAAAAACCATAAGCACAAAGATAAACCTCTCCATTTTTAAGTTGTGGGTGTCTCAGTGATGGAAAAGTGGTGAATACAGAAAATTGACACCAGATGTGGGAACATTGGTGTGACTATACCAGACCATGTAGTTTAGAAATGTTTGGAACTGGTTTGTGGGACAAGTTTGGAAAGGTTTGGTGATATGGACTAGAGAAGCCCTATTCTTAGTCACTTTCTTATCCTGGAGACACAAACCCAACACCCACAATTTGAAGGAGGAGATGTTTATTTATTTTTGCTCATGTCTTTTAGTCCATAGTTGGCCTGCTTCAAGGTAGGAAGGGCATAGTGAAAGGGCCTGGCATGGAGGGAGACTGCTCACATCATGGCATCCAGGAAGTAGAGAGTGAAGGGAGAAGCCACGGAGGGACATATACCCTTTCAGGTCACAACCCAGTGATCTGCCTCTTCCCACCAGCCCCCACTTTCCAAGCACATTCAACTCTGAACCTGTGATCAAATCATCTTCCAGTAGCCCTATGTCTGAACATATGAGGCCTTTCTGGGACTTCCTGTATATAAACCATATCACCCTAGAATGATGTAAACAGAATTTAACTAGTGATTCTGTTTAGAGCTCAAAAGACCAAAGGGGTACTGGGAATGTGGATAGTAAAGGCCAGGCTCATGAGGTTTTAGATAGGAATGAGGACTCTATTGGAAACAACTACACGCTGTGCAGATTTTATTTTGGTAAATAATTTGTCTATGTTTTGGCCATGTCCTAAGACTTTGTGGCTGAATTTAAGGTTGGTGAAACAGTTAATCTACTGGAGGAACTTTCAACGCAAGCCCAGTGTTAAGGCTGTGGCATGGGTACTGCTGGCTGCTTTTAACCAGCTTCTGTTCTCACTGGTGGCAGATCTTGATACCATCCATTGATGTTAGCTTTTCAGCCATGCAGCATGAAGTGCTGTAGTGTGATGGAGGCATCCACCTAGGTCTCAGAAGAAGTCTTGGGAGTCCATACAGTATGCCTGTGAGAGGGCACTGTGTAAAGCTGTGAGTGAAGCAAAAAGTGCAGTGGAAACCCCAGGAAGTTAGACGTGTCAGGAATGAAGAAAGTCTGCTGAGTAAAACCATGAGCAGCAAATGGAACCAGCCTGAGAGGGGCCATATGAAACCTGCATCACCATAGCTCACCACAACTTGCCTTGGGTGCTGGACATGGAGCTACAGGACTTAATGTTGTCTTGCGTTTCAGTCTTGCTTTGGTTCAGTTTTTTTTTCCCTATTCTCCTCATGGAGTGGAGATGTTACCTTGTGCCATTGTATGCTGGGAATATTTTACTTTCTGATTTTCATAGGAGCTGACAGCTAAGACTTTGCCTTGAATGTCAGAGGGGACTCTGTACAAAGACTTTTCAGCTGTGCTGGAACTGTTAAGATTTTGGCAACTTCTAGAGATAGACTAAATTCATTTTGCAGAATGAGATAGAAATGAGTCTTTTGGGTACCAGGGGTAAAATGTTATAGTGTAGATGTAAAATGTTTCTCAAAACTCTTATGTGCAGAGTTGGGTATTTTAGAAAGTGACTAGGTCATTGAGTTGCTACACTCATCAATGTATTAGTCTATTGATGAATTTATAGTTGACTGTGCTGTTTGAAAGTAGATGCTTTGTCAGAAGAGGCAGTTCTCTGGGGCATGGCCTAGAATGGTGTATTCTTGTCCCTGGCTCCTTCTCTCTATTTCTTGATGTTTCCTGACTGCTGTAGATTGAATAGTGTTCCTCTGCCATTCCTTCCAGAATGGTCATTCTGTCTTGAGGCCAGCCAAATATGGCCTGAATCCTTTGATAACCATGAGCCATAATAAGCCTGTCTTCAAGTTGTAGGTTTTGGATATTTTATGCCAGCAAAGAAAAAGTGAGTAAAACACATAGGGAATTGTTAACCTTTGAAATAAATGTGTACACATTCATAAATGTGTAAAATGGTTGTTTGAGATGCTTAATATCTTTCCCCACATTAAAAAAAAAACACTTAACTTTGGGTAAATTGCATTTTTAAACAACTGCATATAAGAAAGACAATTTTTATGAGCCCAACCTTCTTAAAATTTTTTACTATGGTAAAATGTGTTAAGGTTTTAAAAAAGAAGTAGTTTGGTTCCAGGGAAAGGTGCAGAATGGGCCTTAAGAAAAGATGAACTCCTTTGGCCTCTGGCTAGAGATTTCTTGGAAAAGGAGAAATAGCATCAGTGAGCAACTTTGGTTGTGAAAGCTGTTAAAAAGACTATCTCAATTATATCTACAGAGAATAGAAACTTCAAAGGGCATCACACCTCAGGCAACCAGAGTTTTAGCTCTAGTCCTATAAGATCAGGGAAGAGGTGTTGAGTTGGGATACATATTGGTCATTCCTGGGCAAGTGCCTATACAAACAGGTATTTGAATAATATGAATATTTCTTTTTTTCTTAAAGGGATATGAGATTTATTAGAGACATAGGACTCACTCAAGCGTGGACTGTGGGTACTCAGAGAAATGAGGCACAATACAGTTGGGAACTGGGGATCATTTATGTGTTTTTGGTGATGGAAATATGGAATTTAATAATCTATATTCTTAGTCTTGTCTAATGGGGAGGAGAGGATGGCCCATCCGCAGTGAGATAATGGTCAATTCATATAGGAAATCCCCAAAAGGTGGTCCATTCATGAGTGAAAGAGGACCATTTGCAAGTAAAAAGGAAATGGGCAGACCTCTTTGTAACTGAAATAGAGTTGCCCAGGCTTGTGTCCTGAAGCTGCAGTTTTTCTTAAAAGTACAATTTTTAAAATCTTAATTTCATGGTTTCCTTTTTATCTAGTTTTATTTCTTCTATCCTGTCTCATTCCCCTTGCCCCATACTTCAGTCCCTTATTCTTAAAGGAGTGCAGAAGGCCAACGGTCCTTCGGTCCTTCTTTGTTAACTGCTTCAGGCTGAGGACAAGTGTTGATCCTGGCTAGCAAGGGACTAAAAGTCTCCTCTAACTCATCTAAAGGAGACATAGGAATATTGGGTTCTATCTATTGAGGAACCATCATCTGTCAATAGTCTGAAAAAGAGGGAAAAGACATAGGAAACATTAGACTACAACATCAGTGAATCATGCAGCAGAAAAGAATACCAGTGCACAGTATCATAACCACAAAAATGAGACTTTTCTTTCCACCAGGTTGTTCGAGGTTGTTTGAGCACAGGATTGCTAGCCAGTCATTAAAGCTTATGGCATAGTCTGACACTGCTTTGATTTGTGAACGTAGATCATGAAATTCAGAGGACACCTTTGCAAAGTTGTCAGGAATGTACATACAACATTCTGTTTTGGTAATGGCATGAGTTCCACCTTGTGCTATGTGTATAGTTCATAAGAGAGTCAATGTGCCACGTTACATCCTCAAGTCCTATTGATAAAGGAGAAATATAACTCCCAACCTCCTTGATGTCAGATGCGCACAGTTCATGAGCCCTGAAATCAAAAAACTAATTCTAAGGAACAATGCAGGGTAAGAGTAGGAAAAAGTTTATTG